CTTCCCCTCTCCCCCCCCCCTTTTTTCCCTTTTCACCCCCCCCCCCCCCCCCACAAAAACAATGAGATGTCAAATTGACCTGGTTTTACAACCATTTTGACATCTCAGGTCTCAGTTATTGGCTCACTTTGACAATCCATCTCTATTAGTCAGATTAGTTTCTGTCTTTATTACTCTTTAGAGAGGGAGAGAGGGAAGCCAAAAAGGGAAGTGCAGTGTAGTACTCTTCTGTTTATAAAATACAGAAGTCTTGCCCTTATTTTATTTTTTTTGCATCGATAACAAATTTCTCTCTTGGAAACATCTCAAAAACATCAAGAAAATGCCTGATTCTTTACTGGTCTCTACTGTTTGTTTGTTCAGATATGGATGCTAAACACAGTTTTGATGCTTTCGTTCTCAATAAATCATCCTCGAATTAAACTACGGACAGATTCACAAAACTTGAAAATGCATAATTCTATTTGTCATTTTTATTTTCCGAAGCAGTTCTTCGAAAACGATTCTGTTAAATGTTATAAAACGAGTCCTATTCTTCCCCCAAATCGTGTTGAGTGGTTTGAGAATGGGGTTATGTCAGCTGAACAAATAAATAGGGGCATGTTACGTTCAATTTTTTCAATTGATTAAAAATTGAAATCGTTAATGTGCCTTAATAAAAATTGAAGGACCTATCTGAAAACCATTTCGTTTTCAATTTTTTTCACTTTTTTTTTTAACTGTAAACATATTTCATTTTTGTTTTAAAAAAAAATTAAAATTAGGTTTCAAAATCATTCTTATTTATGAAAACAACGTTAAAGTGTTTTTAGTTTTTTCCCCCTTTCTCATTTACCAATTTATATCACCACATAAACATGTACATTGCACTCCAGTTACCAAAACTTGGTATTTGGGACCTCTTGACTTGGACTTGACCTCTCAACTCTTGCATTCGACTGAAGATCCAATTCGAGCCTCGAGACCTCTAGATCCAAAATCAACCTAACTCCAAAATATTCACTGAAAAATACTACACAGTCTTTGTAGCATGCACTTTCATTTTATGACTTCAAATTCACAATTTGACTCAAAAAAGATTTCATTTTCAAGTTTTACATAAAACTGAAAACAGTTACCAAATAACTTTTAAATTATTTTTTGTTTTTTATTTTGAAAAAAATAAATTAAAATTGATTACCAAACAAGTTTTATGTTCTCAATTCTTTCTTTTTAAATGAAAACTAAAAACTGAAAACTAATAACTGAAGTAGTTAAGAATGGTAAATGATTTTCCCACTCCCTTTTTATTCACCTACACTCTTTTTTGTTTGGAAAAATAGAGTATAAGTGGATAAAAAAGGAGTGGGAAAATCAGTCCCCAATAATAGGGACCAAAGTTTTGACAAAGGTTGGGGTGGATGGTGTGGTGTGTGCAATTTTTTTGCCTTCAAATTATCCTAGGGTTGTCTATATGGACGGACCAAAAATTACAGGGTAAAACCGTCAATTCAACGTTACAAAGACACACACAGCAGCACGTACATCCACGGCGTCGGAGGCCTTATCCTCTTCAGTTCTTCTGCCCCATTGTTTTTCTTCCTTCCTAGCGTTATACTAAAATGGCAACTTTACACTTACACAGCATCCTACCCAATCCGACGTCGTTCAAATCCACCAAGGCCACTACTTCAACTCGGCGCAGGCTCCTAGCGAACTCAGTCAGGTGCGCCGAGGCAACTCAGGTCACCGGCGAGACCCAGCGAGTCACAGTGAGGAACGGGAACGATTCCCTGGACATATGCCGAGTCCTGAACGGAATGTGGCAGACGAGCGGTGGTTGGGGCAGAATCGACCGAGACGACGCCGTCGAGGCCATGCTCCGCTACGCTGATGCTGGCCTCTCCACCTTCGACATGGCCGACCACTGTAAGTCATATAATGTCAATCAAGCCCCCAAATTGTCTACATTTTTACGCCCAGGACTTATGTGCATACGTGGGTGTTTTTGATTGGGTTGTCTTGAAATATATCTGACAGGTTGGTAAAGTAGCGCTGCATTAGTCATCCACGTGTGGTTTAACAGTATTGCCCTTAGATGATGTGTGTATTTACAACAAAGGGGGTTATGCTTGTGTGCAAAAATGAAATCAATGGAGGAGAGCTACACTACATATGAAAGCTGATAAGATAATACTTGGTTGTATAAAATTTATGTAGAAGAAGAAAAACTGTGTTTGTTTTGTCTACATAGTTAGTCTTTCCCACTTGGTAATTGGAATGGCAGAGTTGTTGCACCATAATTCTTTAAGAAAATTCACCTTTAGTTCCATCAAGAAAACAAGGACCAAAGGAATTCAAAAACTCAGTTGGAGGCCGGTTCAGGGTGTTTTAACCGAAGACAACAAACGGGCTGTGGTTAAGAATGGCAAGGATTCATTAGACATATCCCGGGTTGTGAATGGGATGTGGCAGACGAGTGGTGGCTGGGGTCGAATTGATAGAGACAATGCAGTTGATGCCATGCTTAAATATGCTGATGCTGGACTCACCACTTTTGATATGGCAGATATATGTATAGCACTCAATTATCAATAACTTATAGTGTGTGTGCGCTGCTTGCATATCCATCTTGATTTAAGTTGTCATCTTCCCATTTCTGTCTGTCACATTTGGACTTATATTACACCTTTGCTGAGATAATTTTATGATGGTGACATGAATGGTAGTGAGGTTCTCCCTTCATTCAGAGTTATTGAAACTATTTCTTGTGAGTTTGGACCTCAATTGCGCAGTTACAGAGCATTTTTCTACTTGTTTGATGGTGGTAAACAAGTTTATCATTTTTTTTGTAGTCCTTTCGTTCTGAATCTATCCCTGGCAGTTAATACCTCCTTAAAGAAAAAAAGAAAAGAAACAATTGTGAGTTTATATCCTGGAGTTTATAGTTTGGCTTTCTGCAATTTTGTAGACGGACCGGCTGAAGATCTATATGGCATCTTTATCAATCGAGTTCGTCAGGAGCGTCCGCCAGAGTTCTTGGAGAAGATCAGAGGGTGAGTTGCTTCCACTTAATAGGTTGTAAATTACTGGCCGGCTATTGTTAGGAGTCTTCAGCTATTGCATAGAGCAATCAGTTTCGCTTCTTTGCTTGCATGCATTAGAGACTGATTAACGTTTCACTCACTATGTTATACCCGAGTGAGCGTGTAGAATTGGAGAGTTTTACAATTTGTTTTCCCTGCTATATTGTGTGCTGCAGTCTTACAAAATGGGTGCCACCACCTGTTAAGATGACAAGTAGTTACGTAAGGGACAGTATAAATGTTTCACGGAAGAGAATGGATGTGTCTTCCTTGGACATGCTTCAGTTTCATTGGTATGAATTCTTTTTCTCAATGCATGATGTTGTCGCAAACCTTTTGTCAAGTAGATTTTCCATTTGTTGTTAAAGTATCAATATGTGTTGATATTCAAATTTGAACCTGTATAGGGTCATGCTCCAATTGGAACCAAAGTTTAAACTTGAGCAAGTTTTGATTATTCCAAATTAGTTGTGTTTTTCCCAAATTGACTCAAATCAGCTTACTCTATTTGTTTCTGAATGGAAAGAAATGTTGCACCATTTCCATTTGTCAGGTATATCCCTCATTGCAATGGCAGTGAGTTTTCGTTATCATACTAGTTATGCTTGACGTACGTGAAGAAGGAACATTTTTTCCAATATCAGATTTGTTAGTTGTGCACTAACCAGATATTGAAATATCTTGCTGGAACCATATCTTTGATTTTTTGCATTTAATCGTTGGCAAACCTTATCTACTAAGTCTCACTTCAAAAAAAAAAATTAATTATATCAATTAACTCAGATTAACTTCAATAGTTTCCTGAGACCTGAAGTGCAATGGCCACTGCAGTAGCTTTCAATTTTATGTAAATTGTCATTTGCTTAACAAGGAAACTCCATTTGAATTGACCATCACATCGTGCACATTGTTTGACTAGTTGCTCCACTAATTCATTCCCAGATTTATCTCACCTGCTACCATCTAATGCATTGCCTATGCTTTCAACTACACTCTTTACCACTGTAGTTTATTTCAATGTCATGCATTTCTACATTGAATTACACTTACTTGAATACACCTAAAACTCAAATATTTTTAAGTGAATGGCTTGTGAGGCTAAATTTCTCTTTCTACTTGAGATAGGTGGGATTATGCAAATACCGGTTACCTTGACGCACTAAAACACCTTACAGATTTGAAAGAAGAAGGTAAGTGTATGACCCTAGTAATTTAAAATGAAAATCTTGGCCACATTTCAAGGTTTGATTGCATTACTTCAGCTACTGGTTTGCAGGTAAAATTAAGACCGTTGCCTTGACAAACTTCGACACAGAGAGACTACAGATAATCCTGGAAAATGAGATTCCTGTTGTCAGCAATCAGGTATATGCTTCATACACTGTATTTATTTGAATTTTTTCATATAGATATGATTTGCATCTCCTTATGCTTTATTATCACGTCGGTATTACAATGTAATCAGGTCCAACATTCAATTGTTGATATGCGTCCTCAACAGAAAATGGCAGAGCTTTGTCAGCTTACAGGAGTCAAACTCATAACGTCTCTCTCTCTCTCTCTCTCTCTCTCTCTCTCTCTCTATATATATATATATATATATATATCATACAGGTGCACACACTCACACACACAAATGCACAATGCACAGGACGATTATAAATGGTCAATCATCCACCAATCAACATGCTCTTGACATCAGCTCTTATCTTAGCTGGGAACATTTCTATCATAATCATCTCCTTAACCCTGGTGCTAAGGAATTGTACTTATCCCAAAACAAATAGTGATCCTTTGAAGGAATAATCAATTTTGTTGTTTGTACGTTTAATAGCTGCTGTAGACTTTCAAGCATTCTCTTGTATTCCTTTTGATCATAAAGCTTTCTTTTGCAGGTATGGGACAGTGATGGGTGGTCTATTATCAGAAAAGTTCCTTGATACCAACTTAAACATTCCCTTTGCTGGGCCTCCACTAAATACTCCCTCCCTCCAGAAGTACAAACGGGTACATCGTCTTGAACTATTTGATTGCGCTGACAAATTAATTAGTTAATGTGGTCGTTAAGATGTACCCCAAGTCGCTCCAAGTCAGTTTTAGATACAAAATCCAGCAAAAAAATTGGGTAGATGTTGCTTTCACACTTTGCATGATTTGAGGGAACAATTAGAATGATGCTAGTTGGGAGATGGAATGCATGGCATAACGCAGAGTTGTAATTACCAGGACTCATTTTTGAAAGCATAGAAGTTACAATACTTATCTGTTTCGAATCCATCTTACTAGATTTGTAATGTGTGGCAGATGGTCGATGCCTGGGGAGGATGGAGTCTCTTTCAAGCTCTACTTCAGACACTCAAAGGAATTGCTTCAAAACATGGAGCCACAATCCCCAATGTTGCCGTGAAATACATATTAGATCAGGTAGAGCAAGTTCAACTATTATGTCGGAAATTATAGGATTTTTAAACCTCAGAAACTTATTTACTAAGTCATAATATGTGTATTTCGGTTTTGTTCATCTTGTAAAAATTGCAGCAAGCTGTGGCAGGATCGATGATAGGTGTTAGACTTGGGTTGTCAGAACACATCCAAGACTCCAATGCTGTGTTTTCACTTGCTCTTGATGAGGATGATATAAGCAGTATACAAGAAGTCACAAAGAAAGGGAAGAATCTTCTTAAAGTGATTGGTGACTGCGGAGATGAATACAGGCGTGCATGAAGTTCTCACTCCAATGATCTTGTCATACTTTTCTATACAGCACCGGGACCAAAACAAACTTTTTTCTTTAGTTAGAGTACTGGTGCATTTATATACAATTGTCATGGAACATGAATATGTAACTATGTAAAACAAAAGGTTTGTGAACTATTTTGGGTATCCAAGGCATCTAGTTTCAGAAAGATAGATATTTTCCAATCACTTTAAGCTTAAATCGCATATAAGAAAACTTTGCCACAACATTTTCATGCACATTCAATTGCATTACACATACTAACGAATTGGAGGTACAAATCACCCCTATTTTAGGCTTTAGATTATAAGAGAAACATTCAACCATACAAGAAAAATATTCAAGAAACAACGGAAACTTTTCTATGGCTAAATCTAATGTTTTGTCACTCCCTTGGATGCCTTTCAAAAAGATTCACCTGCCAGAAAGAATGAAATTGAAATCACAATTCTACATGCTGAAAATTTTCATTTTAGTCTCGCATACGATTGTGACTATGCATGCCAATGCCATGTCCACTGCCAAATAAACTGACCACAGTTTATTACCGATGTTAGACTCGAAAACTTACAACATTTAGGAGTCTTGTCATTGCAAATGACTAGAAACAAACAAGAATTTATTAAAACAAAAATGCAAAGACAAGCAGAAAAACATACATGACTATAGGGCATTTGAACCAACTTCTTAGAAAACTTGTGATCCTGTGTACTAAACTGTCGCACCAAGACCTATTATGGCTTTTACAACGTTTTATGAAGAATTACATCCTTTAGGATTCTAGGTTTCCAGCCAAAACATCATTTGGTTGCCTTACTTATTAGGATTTAGAAAATGAGTATTGCAATTGTTATATTATATGACTTATAAATCTCAAAAACTAGGATTTTTTTTTTTTTTCTAAAAAAATATGTCATTGTTGAAAGAGTAAATATAACGGTAGTTGGAATGAAAGCAAAAACCTTAAGAAGTAGAATGAGGTGAAGCTGAAGGTGAATCAGATGGTAAAGGAGGCTGATAGATGCGTGCTTTGGTGAGGATTTCAGCCACAACCCAATGCTTACGCTTGCTCAAAGGCCTTGATGGGTCCAACCGCACCTGATGAAATAATTTGCTTAAAACACAGTTAAAAGTGATCAAATAAATAAAGAGAAGGAGAAAGAGAGAGAAATAGAAAGAGATATACTCGGTCTCCGATGTTGCACAGATTCTGCTCGTCATGGGCCATGAACTTGGAGGTCCTCTTCACGTACCGGTTGTAGAGCTTGTGATGGAACAGCCTGTCCACCGCCACCACCACCGACTTCTGCATCTTATTGGAAACTACCATCCCCACAACCACCTTCATCTCGCTCAAACTCTAATATGAACAACAGCTTACCACTTAACCCTGGCCTTGGGTACCTTCCTGAGAGTCTCACATCCAACATATAATCAGACTTAGAATCGGGTCAAATTAGACTTAGCCTTAAACTATGCAATCAGACTAGCACACGCATAATTTTAAATGGTAATTAGTTATGTATCATATTTCTCAGCGTAACTCCAAATTCGAGTCAAGTTATGCTATGTTGCACCGATACAGATACGGGTACGGCAGTACGATACGACACGATACGTCAATATGGCAAATCTCCAAAAAGTAGGATACGGGTACGGCACCGATAAGGCGATTAAAATAATATATATTTAAAAATAATATAAATGAAAATTTGAAAATTGATATTTCATCCATAATAAGTTCAAAACATTAACCAAACAAATAACTTCATTCAAATCTCCATAAACAAAGCAAAAATTAAACAAAACATACAAAATACAAGTATCCATAAACAAAGCACAAATTAAAACATTAGAAATCACTTCTCAAAGCTCTAACTTCATTCATCTTGGGTAAATATGATGCCTTCTAAGTCCGGTTCATCAAGAGAGAGGTTTGCAATCTCAAGCACTCCGGCATTTTCCAAATTAATACATATACAAAATTTGTAGGCAGGCAGCTATAATCTAATTAACAAAAATTATGACTTCACAAACCAATTAAATTATATACCCAAATCAACAACAATTCCTACCAGACAAAACTTATTAACTAATACGGTGCCCAACTCATATAACAACAATAGGCAGCAGCTTATTAGAAACAAAAGAGAACCCAAATCAAATTAACAACAATAGGCAGCAGCTTATTAAAAAAAAGAAAAGAGAACCTGTTGGTACCGTAACTGACCCTCTTGCTGAAGCCACTGCAGGCTCCAAAAAGTTCAGTCAGCCCCTACCGATCAGCACCCTTACTGAAAAATGGCCAGACCCATGAAAATCTCCTCTCTTCTTAAGACCTTGCCGAACCAAGGACTAAAATATCCCCAAGCCAACTCAAAACTGCTGAACGGCAGGTCTGATAAAGAGATTTTGCTCTCTCACCTTCTAAAAACCCTAGGCCATGCCTCTTTGCCCTCGCCAAAGCCCAACTAAGGCTAAGCCCCAAATCTGAGCCCAGCTCCAGTTCCCTAAGCTCTTATCTCTCATCTATGGCATCTTGCCGAACCCCAAATATAGCATCTTGCCCAGGCCGAACGGCAGGGACCTTGTTAGAAGCACTGGAGGCCCGACTTCAAAGACCATGCCAACTTTACTAGAGGTCCAAAACAAAAAAACAAAAAACAAAACAAAAAAAAGCCGAACGGCAAAGGGCTATAAAAAGAAAATTGAAGCCCACACTCTTTTCTCCTTCAAGCTTCAGCCCAATCTTTTGGGACCCAAGCCCTTGCTGCCCAAAGCCATCACTTGGTTACCAAAGATGCTCGAGCCAAAGCTATGACTCAGCCTCCTTTAGACCTGGCAATATTGCACGCAACCCGTTAACACAACACGAATTCGCACGAAATTATCAGTATTTGGGTTGAGCTTATTAGGTCGGGTTAAAAACGGGTGAACCCGTTAGCCACCCGTTAAGCTAACGGGTTGTGTCGGGTCGAAAACGAGTTAACCCGTTAGCCACCCGTTAAGGAGGTTAATTTTGTAATTTTGCATAATATATATTTTTTTTCCTTCTTCCCCTTTTCTTTCTTCTTTTCCGTGTCTTTTTCCTCTTTCCTTTTTTTCACTTTTCTTCTTTCCTTTTTGTCTTTTTCTTCTTTCCTTTTTTCCTTTTCTTCTTCCTCTCGTTCTTCTCTTCTTTTCTTCTTCTCTGTTCTTCTCTTCTGCTATCTTTTTGTTAAGATTCTCTTATGCTCTTCTTATCTCCACTCAACAGACTCCACCAGCCCAGCCACCAGAGATCAAGGAGGAGGTATCTGGGTTGGTGCACAGAGGGTGATTGATTCTAGAGTTGTTGGTTTGGTTCTCTCAATTAATTTTGAATTTTCTTTCTTCCTCAATTTATGTAGTTGTTGGGTTTTTAAGATATCTGTGAGATATATATATATATTGTTTTGGGGTGAGAAGACTAAAATGAAGAGGGAAAG